GTAACCATATCTTTGGAGACATCCATTTCGATGCTTAGTATTACTATCAGCAATAACCTTTCTTGGGAAAATCACGTGAGATCAATTATTACTGAAAGTGCTTCCCAAAAACTTGGTTTTCTGTTTCGAACCAGGAGCTATTTCACTTCCAGTCAGCTGCTTATGATCTATAAGGCACAGATACGACCTGTCTTGGAATACTGTTCCCATATTTCGAGTGCAGCATCCAAACATACCTTAAAACAGTTGTATTCGGTCCAAAAAAAAACAATTCGTCTCGTGGGGGATGCCTCGCTCACGAACTCACTCACTTCTCTGGAACACCGTAGAAAAGTTGGCGATCTTGCTCTATTTTATAGATATTTTCATGGACGATGCTCTTCAGAAATACCAACAAAGACTCTTTCATCCAACGAACAGCGAGGGTCTGGAACACATTGCCAAGGGAGGTGTTCGCCTAGGCTCATAACCTTCAGAAATTCAAGAAGAATACCATCAATTCCTACGTTATTTCCCTTGGTTCTCACGATGTTCTCTGATCATTACAGGATATTCCTTTCCGTGGAACCAGAACATAAAAAAAAGTCTATATCCCCATAAGTTTTGTCGGTTTTACCTCTGTGCACCTTATGGTATACTATTTCAAAGTGGTCACCATTGATTTCGATTTATTATCTCACCCAGTATAAACACTCCTCACCGTGTGTGGTGTTCCAGATACATGTAATTAGTGTGCCAGTTGAGATATTACCCGTAGGTATCTTATTATAGAAAATGACTGAGGGCCATCATCTTCCATTAATGGGATTCCATCCATGATAAAGTTATCCACTGTTTTATATTCATTAGCTTATCTGACGGTGTCTTGAAACCAATTTCATGCGCAACAAATTTACCATTATTTTGAATTAGGGGCATTTCGGCGAGCTTCTGTGGTCTAACCCATTTAATTTTCGAACAGATGGCGATTCAAAATGTTAGGAAGACACAAACACAAGGACTTTTCTAGCTGAAAAGATTACTTTTCTCTAGACTTTCGGATTTTCTCTCCTGTGTGTCCTCTCACTAAGAAGAAGAAAAAGAAAAAGAAAACAAATTCAACATACGCCAACCATATATTAGAAGAAAACCATAGTTTTGATGATAATTTCGAAATTCTGCACGTAGAATATAAAGGACTGAAATTCAATCATTTTGAATCATTAGAAATCAACAAACTCAAAAATTCTGACATTTTACTTGATGATCAATTAGACCTCAATAGTTCACCACTGTTGAATTTGTTTTCTTAGTAAGTCATAATAAGTGTTTGCTATCAACTCTTTCAAGTTAATCCGGTATACCTTATTTTAATGTAGATATTGTGCCTTTCCGAAAATGGAGGTTTATCGTACCTGTCCACAGGTAACTAATCCTTCAGGTTGGGAAAGTAAGATATCTAAAAGTTAAGCAAGCCAACGTTAGTTTAGTTCATTGTACCAGTATATCACCTGACGACGCTACCGTGTGTTTGAGAATTTTGTGGAAATCTTATCGTTTGTGAAGTTTTTACACAACCCCCCCAAAAAAAATGGAATCGAATGGTTGTTCATTTTGAATGTTAGTTTAGTTTGGAGTTCCTCCCTTTCCCATGAAGGGAAATGCAAACATTCGAAATTTGATACAAATCCTAATTCTATCATTGACTTTTCTAATCTAATTTGGAAAGTACCGTTCTGTATATGATGAAACGAGGGTGCATATTAAAATACAACCCTCATACCGCCGGCAGCAAACATTTTGAGCAAACTCACTGCCAATGAAACGACTCACTGTTTATTTAAAATAATTTGAGAGGAATCAGGATATCACAGCGTACACTTGTGATGGATGCTTGCTGAAGGCAAACAAAAATAATTATTTTTATTTACTCACTGAATCGAAAGTAGGCATCTGCTCCCTTATTCAAGGAAACAAAGTTGTCAATGTAATCCCACGGAAGGAATAGTATATTGTCCATCACGTGGGAAAAGTTCAACTTTTCTCACGAGTGTAAAAGTTTGTGGCACGAGCCTGAAGGGCGAGTGATGCAAACACACGAGTGAGTAAAGTGCTTTTCCCACATGTTGTACACTATACTTTTTCTACAACTGCACTTATTCAAAGAATCCGAGTAATGTAGCTTATTGGTATTCATTTCATAATGTGGCACTATGCCACATTGAATATTGTGACCAAAGAGTAGACGCCTTTCCTAGTTCCTCAAAGTTTTTCAAAAAAGTACACTTTCCGAAAAAGATTTTATTTCTGTATTCTTTCAGATTCCATAAATTTCTCTGATATTAGGAGTCAAAATAGGCTGAAAATCACTTCGGATTCGGAATCAGGACGCCCAATTCACTACAGGAATTCTTGGAATTATAATTTTCAGCATCAGATTTCAATGATTCTTTGTGTTTTTGTTTGTCTGTTATATTTACATTTCGTTATATTTTTACTGAAATTTCATCTCATTTTGTTTTAGCTAGTGAAATATCAGATACTTTTTCATATTTGATGGTCATCTTTGTTTGTAATCTATATTAGTGCCTATGACTTGAGTTTTTCAACTGTCCTAAATTGAAAACTTCAATAAAATCTATCTATATATCTATCTATCTATCTATGAATACTTCCATTGGCAGAGAATTCCAAAGCTTCGCCGTTCTATAGACGAACTAGTTCTGGTATAGTCTAGCTCGTCGGAAAATTTTCCGTGGAAGTATCTATAAAAAATTGAAAGGTCGCCGATTTTTTTACGGTGTATGTTTCATTGGATTGATATATTACAAGAAATTGCCAGCAGAATATGATAATATGACATCAGCAGATATGCGAAATTGATTCCATATTCATTAAAATTCATCTTCTTGGAAATATTAGTGGGATGCAGTCTGGACCAATGAATCAATCAAATTTCTTCGTTATTTGTCGTCGAGCTTGATAAAGAAAATAAAAATTTTCGAAAGCTCGACGACAAATAACGAAGAAATTTGATTGATTCATTGGTCCAGACTGCATCCCACTAATATTTCCAAGAATATTATTATAGAACAGTCACGAAAGCTTCCCCTTGTTAAAATTCATCTATAGGAACTCTCCTACAGTGAGCAGAGAATGCAGACATCCTGTATTAGGGTACACGAAGCTGCTCTGGGGGTGGTTATATAAGATGGAGGAGTCGACAAGTATTTAGATTTCCTCATCGCTAAATCAAATGTGAATAATTTAACAATTCAAATGAGAAGCTTAGGGGAGGAATTGTTTTTGTTGGGAGGCAACCAAGATTGTGCCTTCAGGGGACAAATGATAATGATAATAATATTATGTATTTGCATTCGAATAGTTACATAATTATTCAGTATATCTTCAATAACCTTTCTTGGGAAAATCACGTGAGATCAATTATTGCTAAAAGTGCACCCCAAAAACTTGGTTTTCTGTTTCGAGCCAGGAGCTATTTCACTTCCAGTCAGCTGCTTATGATCTATAAGGCATAGATCCGACCTGTCCTGGAGTACTGTTCCCATATTTGGAGTGCAGCACCCAAACATACCCTGAAACTGTTGGATTCTGTCTAAAACAGGGTAATGGGCGTGTACACCTTAGTAGAACTTTTAACTCAAACCATGTTTATAATGATCCTTTTATACATAAATAATGATTGACGACATAATTCGATCGAAAAATTAACTGGAATGTTTCATTTTTGAACATAAATAATAGTACCTTCTGAAAACGGACCCTCTTATGACGTAGAAACCTCATCTCGCCATAGTTAAAAGAAAATACCAAACGCCCGAAGGTGACTGAGGCAACTGATATATTGATTCTTTCAACCGGAGCTTTCAACCGTGATCTCGCGCTAATTCACTCTGTCAGAAATCACGTATCATTCATCTCTGTCTGGAATAGTCTTGTTTCAGTATTGGGGTTTTGACGCCACATCATCGCCTCGTTTTCAGAGGTCTGAAAAATCGGGGATTTCAATAATTTTTTATAGAACGTAGGGAGCTCACAGCAAGAAACGGTTTGCGGTGGTGAGCTAGTTTGGGTGAGTTCTATCGAATTATGAAATAAATTTTTTTTGTGATACAAGCCCATTCATCTCGTGGGTGATGCCTCGCTCACAAACTCACTCACTTTTCTGGAACACCGTAGAATAGTTGACAATCTGGCTCTATTTTATAGATATTTTCATGGACGATGCTCTTCTGAAATGTCAACAATAATTGTTGCTTCCTTGGCAGTCCCCGCGAGATTAACCCGTCGAGTTAAGGCTTCAAATCCCTTCGTCACTTTGGACCTCTTTCCAAAGACTCGTTTATCCAACGAACAGCGAGGCTCTGGAACACACAACCAAGGGAGGTGTTCCTTTGGTTCTAACGATGCTCTCTGAACGAGTATCCCTTTTCGTGGGAACCAGAACATAAAAAAAATATATATCTAAGACTGGAATCTTTGGCACGATAATACACTATACACTGTTTTACTACTAACCAAACCGATTTTTTACATCTCGACACGTGTTTCGCTAACTATGTTAGCATCTTCAGGAGAAGATTAAAACTGAATGATCTATCCGAGTGGGCTACTTATAAACTAAGTATATGGGATGAGTCCATTATCCTTATTCATTATTCTTTTACTATTCCCAAATATCTCTAAGCTTCCATATGCATCTAATTTTCACTTTCATAAATAGTTATTTTTTCTGTGACGGGAAATAAGTTTGGCATTTCATCTTTGTTGGCAGGTTATAAAATGTCACTTTTCATAAATTACTTTTTTCACGTGGGAAAAAAGTGGGTACTCTTTACCCGGATATATATCACATAGAAATACACTGTTGATGGCTTTTGTTGTGCTACAGTTCCGAATCAAGTCAATAATACCGTCTCCGAGAAAAAACTGCAACTTTTATCTTCCATTCGACTTCGCTAAAATCTACTACTTTTTTCCCTTGTATAATAAACATATTTTTGTTGATTGCAGGTCCCCCTGGACCCCCCGGACCCCCTGGCGCTCCGGGCAAAAGAGGTCGCAAAGGCAAGAAAGGCGATTTGGGAGAATCCGGACCTCCGGTGAGTGGAACGTATTCCGGTAATTACATGGAAGAATTACCTCATCCGGGAGCTCTCAGCTGCTCTCAAGAAAAGCCCACGATACCAAAAATTACAAATCGAAAAATATCCGTTATTCCAGATTTTTTTGGGATTATTTCTCCTCGTCTCTATAAAATGAAAATATGAATACTATTTCAATATAATTTCCACTTATAATTTTCCGAGGGCTTCAATTATTACCGGAAATTTTTTCGAGATCAAGAATATTTTGAAATTTTATAAATAATCGTCTCCGAGGAAGAACTTCCGGCTTTTAATTGAAACTAGAGTGGTATTCGGTAAGAAAATTTCACATCGGAATTCAAAAAAATACTAGGATAAGATTAAGCCGAATAAAATTCAAAATACCGACGGTGGAAATATATTTTGTTACGAGGAGATCGACAGTTAGTAGTTACACAAAATAATAAAAAAATATGTCGATAGTAGCTCAATTTCTTAGTTTTTCACAAATTCATTTTAGTAAAGTTGGTAGAAATGTATTTTCTCACAAGAAACATGGTAGTTCTATTTGGTAATCAATGAAATTTGCTTACGTAATATTATTGGGTCAACTAAAATAAGTTTATCGAAATCGGTGACAGTTAGTAAGTTATTAGTCAAAACAGAAAAAAATTGCATTATTGATAATTTATGAGGGCAGCTGAGTAGCTCTATAGGTGTGATTGATTCACGTTTTGAAACAGCTGATTTTGTTTTTTTTATGTTATTAGGGCTCTTCAGGCACGCCAGGCAAAAACGGCTTTCCGGTATATTTTTTTTAACAAATTATTCATCATAAATCATACAAATCTTGCATTCTCCATTTCACATCATCATCATGTCTAATGTTGATTGGTATCAGAAGAATGTAATTCATTTTTTCTTGCTCGGCCAGTACTTGATGGAAAGCCTTAGTAATTGTTATAAAACATTCACGAACGATAAGATTTACAAAAAGTTATTGAACACATTATAAATGTTTCGCTGACACAGAAGCTTCTTTTAAATTCCATCTAGAAAGAGGATTGAAGTGTGGAGAGGATCATAACAAATTGATAAATCATCTCATCGTTATAGTTTTTCTTATTGTCAAATCTAAAAAGATATGTAGACGACGTTATAGCATGTTATAGTATGCTTCAGAGGAACCAATAGACAATTATCAGACTCCTCTCACTAATATATCAATACAATTCTTCGAAATAAAAAAATTCACCGTGGGTAAAAAAACGGCAAAGGACCCCGCACAAGACCATAGGAAATTGGCCCACAGTGGGATTTGTCTGAAATTCGCCAATGTTATGGGTATGGAGTTGGGTGGCCAGGTAGCCGTGCGGACAGAGTGTCTATATTCTAATTCGCATTCGCTTGCCGGTCGTGGGTTCGATCCCCGTCGACTGCAGAAATTTTTCTGATGGCCCAAGAAAGTGTTTTGGATCACACGTTAAAAGGTAAGGCCCCCGTCATTCCTTGCTCGCACAAGACTTTCGAAGACTTTTGAGGGTTGCTCGTAAGGGGGCAACCGAATGACGGATAGAACAAATTTTAGAACAAATTTTTTTTGATCAAATGTTTTCATGTGACCTATCCTCTAAGACCAAAGATTTAGCTCTCAGGGCCGTATTTAGTATAGATGCCAAATAAACAGTGACACTTTCTTTTTCAAGCCCATGATTTTTGTATCTCCCATTATAATTTAATTGAATGTGAAATATTGCGAAATCTTGGAATTTGTCTTTCAGCACAAGTCCTCTGTAAAACATGCCTTGTCCTACAGGACCGTATTTAGTAAAACTGTATTTGCCAAAGTGCCGAATCGAATTGATTTTGTTATTACTTTCTTATTTCTTGTCCTATTTCAGTGGTTGTTTGATAGGTGAATGTAGATTTCTTTGTGCACATAACAAAAGTGGTCACCATCTTAATATTCAAGATGGTCGTCCTAACATTTAATCTTTATGTAGGATATTTCTCGTAGCTTTTTAGGAATCATAGTAACAGGGAAAGATAAGAACACGTTTCGATTGTTGAAATCGGTCATTTACTTTTTCAATTACCTAACACTATAATATGAATATAACTCTACCATCTAATTGAAACTTCATCTGATTCATTACTAACAAAGTTGAAACCTATATTTCTTGAATATTAAGATGGTGACCACAAAGAAATCTACATTCATCTATCAAACGACCACTGAAATAGGACAAAAAATAAGAAAGAAATAACAAAATCAATTCGATTCGGCACTTTGGCAAATACAGTTTTACTAAATACGGTCCTTTAGGACAAGGCATGTTTTACAGAGGACTTGTGCTAAAAGACAAATGCCAAGATTTCGCAACATTTCTCATTCAATTAAATTATAATGGGAGATACAAAAATCATGGGCTTGAAAAAAAAAAGTGTCATTGTTTATTTGGCACCTATACTAAATACGGCCCTGAGAGCTGAATCTTTGGTCTTAGAGGATTGGTCACATGAAAACATTTGATCAGAAACTCCATACCAATAACATATGTCAATTTCATGCAAATCCCACTGTGGGCCAATTCCCTATGGTTTTGTGCGGGGTCCTTTAAGTTTCTAGTAAGGCTGTAAACATTTTTGAGAATTGTGTCATCTGATACAGTACCTCTTGACTCACCACTGACACATACATCAGGTATTAGTTAACCCTTTCGGCCTTGCCAGGGAATATCATACTTTGTCCCCGTCGCAGAATAATTTCATTTATAGCTACACTTTGATTAGATCTCTTCTATACCGAGTGGCACAATGGGGAAGACCACTGAGAGAAGAAATCCGTGCAAACCTCTTTTAATCGACGAATCATGAGTTACGTTTGATGTACAATCAATATTATGAGTTGAAGTTGAAGGGAATCGAATCTATATCGTTTTGAAATCAACATATTTCATTCGATATTTCAAACAGCCAAATATGATGGTGGAGCCGTGACGTATTAGTCCCAACCTGTAGCTATCTCTCTCTAATACCTCGTCATTCTACAGTATTGCAGTGTGATTGGTCAGTTCAAGGACAATAGGCGTGTTGGGACTAAGACGTCGCACCAGTCACACCAATGAATTGACAAACTTTCAAATGGCGCAGGAATTGTGTGCTTTGAAATGGATATATTCTAATTTATTGTTTTCATCGATTTAGCATGAATGACAAAATTCAAAATTAATTCGCTAGTAGTATTTTAGTATAGAGTACACGATAGAAAAAATCAGTGGTCTCCCCAATTCTGCAATTTGGTACAGTTATGTAAGCAGTCATTTCGGATTTGATGTTATTACAATCCAATATGGCGGACTTCTGGTTTTTCTGGACAAGCCAGCAACTTCGTTTCTTCAAATGGAGCTCCCTGTATATTTTTACATATTCAAATTCTATAGGTCAATACAAGTGCAATCTTATGACAAGATTCAGAAATGTTGTTTTCCACAGCTTACTTGAAAAATCATTCAATCTGCAAGAAAATTCATTAAACTAGTTGTTGATTTTTTAATGTATACAACTTGTTACTGCTCCGACATACAAAAATGATATGTCATTTTTTTCCTTAATGTATGTTCTTGATAGACGTTTAGGTGGCCCATCATAGAGGTTCCATTTTAAAAAATTGATTTTTTTATCAAAATGTGATGTGACTGAAATGATTCATTGATAAGTGACACAAACTTTTTTTTTTACAGAAAAAAATATGTTTCTCCAGTATGTGGGTCTCATTGTGAATAGCTTTGACCACATCGCATTTTTCCACGAGGTTAAATAAAATAACAATTTCAGTTTCAACATTTTCCAAGAAATTACATTTGAAATGAAGATCGCACTCGTTTTGACCTGTTGAACTAGAATGTGTAAAAATATACAGGGTGTTCTATATGAAAAAACAAAGTTGCTGTCATTTCCTGAAAAATCGGAAGTCCGCCATATTGTTTTGTAATGTGTTCAGATCCGAAATGGTTGCTCATATTACGTACCAAATTTCCGAACAACCCGTTCACGAATGCAGAAGTTACAGAGGTAGCCAGATACCCTCTGTGTCACCCTGTATAGATGTTAGGGACACTCGGTATATTCATCGTGACAATTTCACGGCTGATGGTCACTTATCACTGTCCGATTTGCTCGAGCAAGATGCGACCCTGTGTCATCAAAATAAAATGATCACCGGGTGATGAGGGTCACATGGAAGAGAAAGGTCTGAGGGTGAGATAATACAGAGTATGGTGTTTCTCACAATATAATTCGAAGTGACGACAAATGGTCACATTAGTGCCAAATTGCTCTAGTATTCAGTTTCTATATTAGTTAGTAGGTTGATGAGTTCACAATGTTAGAAGTTTCACTTATTTTATGATCAAATGCCAACGTACTTACTATAAGGAAGATTTTATTGGGTCTCAACACCAACAAAGCTTGTGGCTCCGACGGAATCCCACCGATTGTTCTGCTGAATTGACACCTGTTCTCTGCAAGTTGTTCAACTACTCTTACAAATTGGGGATATTCCCGTCCAACTGAAAAATTGCAAGAGTACAACCAGTTCCTAAAAAAGGCAAAAAGACCCTACCTAGTAACTACAGACCGATCGCACTGCTATCTATTATTTCAAAGATCATGGAGAAAGCTATCAACATCGAGCTCATGAAATACCTGAAACATTCAGATATTATCAACGATAGGCAATATGGCTTCCGTCATCAGAGATCAACTGGTGACCTGCTCGCTTAGGTCTCACATATATGGCAGAAATCTATTAAAAATATGGTGAAACCTCAGCCGTAGCACTTGATATCTTCAAGGCATTCGATCGAGTCTGGCACCACGGACTCCTCGCCAAGCTTCCATCTTATGGCTTGCTTCCCCAACTATGTTCTCTGCTAGCTAGTTTTCTCCATTTTTTCTCAAACAGGTCTCTCCATGTAGTGGTCGACGGAGTTTCATCTGACTCTCTTATCATAAAAGCTGGTGTTCCGCAAGGATCAATTCTAGCACCAACACTATTTCAACTCCATATCAACGATTCGTTGGAAGCAACTTCATGTCCAGTACACAGCTTCGCGGATGATAGTACCCTCCATACCGCCTTCGCTTCCAGGGCTCCAATACCAGCCAGGCAAATCAGAAACGAACTTGGTAGATTTCAATGCAAGCAAAACACAAGCATGCCTTTTCAACACAAAAGCCGATCTCACTGTGCCAAACATAAGCATGTCAGGAGTAACCATACCTTTGAAGACATCCATTTCGATGCTTGGTATATTACTATCAGCAATAACATTTCTTGGGAAAATCACGTGAGATCAATTGCTAAAAGTGCACCCCAAAAACTTGGTTTTCTGTTTCGGGCCAGGAGCTATTTCACTCACTCACTTCTCTGGAACACCGTAGAAAAGTTGGCGATCTGGCTCTATTTTATAGATATTTTCATGGACGATGCTCTTCTGAAATATCAACAATTGTTTCTCCCTTGGCAGTCCCCGCGAGATTAACCCGTCGAGTTGAGGCTTCGCACCCCTTCGTGGTCACTTTGGAGACCTGCACAACATCTCTTTCCAAAGACTCGTTCATCCAACGAACAGCGAGGCTCTGGAACACATTGCCAAGGGAGGTGTTTCCCGAGGCATATAACCTCTAGAAATTTGAGAAGAACTCCAATTCCTACCTTATTTCCCTTGGTTCTCACGATGTTCACCAGAACATAAAAAAAAATAAAAAAAATAAAAAAATGAAGGATGCCACTTATCCTTTGAGACATCCTGATAATGACTGGAGGCACTGGCAGACGAACCCATCGAATATCTAACAAAAAAGAGAAGAGCGAATATTCGAGGTCAAGGAAACATTAACAATAATACCTAATGGTGGTAATTACATCAAGTTGCTCAACAATTGGATATGTATACCAATTGATTTGATCGTTATTGATCATATCAACCTAATGTCGTGGAGATGATTTCGAGTATTATTCAGATGTTTCTAAAAAATAATTTCACAATATATGATTTTCCAAATTTTGAAATCGGTTCAAAAATAAGCGAGCTAGAGGGGGGGAAGACATGTATGGTGAATCATCCTGTACCTAGGAAGCTAACTGATTGCTGGTTTATATCAAGTTTCAAATCAAGTACTCTCTGCTCAATTTTGAAAATACACTACTGACAATTACAGCCCTTTTTATTTTCAACTCTTTTATTTCCATTCGGCTTCTCATTTCTTGGGATCGAGAGGAACATGAAAATTTTCGCCATGAATGTGTGTACGCTTTTCACCGCAACGGAAATTGACGGAAACATTTTCCGGGCGACTCGTTTCTCGGAAACCTATAACACACTTCCCGGAACATTGTTGACAACGGATGCTCATCAAGAATATTTATGATATAACGCAATCTGTTGCAGGGTCCTGCTGCTATGCGGGGATATCCGGGATTCCCGGTTTGTGTAATTTTTTTTTCTATGATTTCGTGGTGATGGGAAATAACCACATTGGTCTAGACTAGACAGTAGTCGGTTGGGACAGAAAAAAATCACTTCTATTTCTTTTCCAGATTCTGCAACTAATGATTTATAATTTTTACTCACTCTCAGATGATTAATCGATTGCCTTTGTTCATCATTATGAATGATATATCTCCCCAGTTTTCACGTTATGACGTTCAATATATTGTTAGCGACGATGTACAAATCACCCCGTAATTGAGAAGAACGCCTAAGGAATCCCACTTCTGATATAAGATTCTAAATGGAGGCATCGTAGATAGACACAAGTGGGTACGTAGTTTTTAAAAGGTATCAGATTAGTATAGATGTAGTTTTCATAAGGTATTAGTTTATTTAGAGGTCAGATAATTTATACGACGCTATAAAAGCAGATTATATTTTATCATTGCTCATGAAAGATGGAAGTAGAGGCCATGGCACCATATCATGAGTATATTTTTATATTGAAACTATCATTGGGCACCAAGGATGTGTATACGACGCTATGAAAGTTCGGAGAACTGGAGATTTTTTCCACAAACTACGTACTTAGCCCACTCGACTGTCTTGGTTTTTCCACACGGTCGAGTGAGCTAGGTACGTAGTTTATGAGAAAAAAATCGAGACACTCGAGTGTGCTTTTTTTACTTTCTTCTGTTTTTTGTTTTGTTTTCTATTGGCAAGTGATTAATTAGGAACTTGTAAATTTTCTATTTTTTTCATCGTATCTCCCGAACTATTGAATTCAGTGAAAAATGTTATATGGATTTTTTGTAGATTCTATCAAAAGGAATAATTTTGGTTCTATAACATTTTCAGATATTTTCAGTTGTTTTCGAGATATTTGGAATTATCTGAGAATAAAATTTTCAACACTTTTGTTCCATCTTCCAGTCAACGAAAGGAAAAAATATTTCATGGTTCAGTTGATGTCGATGAGTTTCATCTATCGATAATCTTTGTTTTTCAATATATCTTCATGGTACCCTATGGGTCGTTCAAATTTTTTTTTTCATATTCTTCACTTTATTTCCTGTACTATTAGGTTCACAAAAAAAATTATGGGTTATAATTTGTAGGAAATGTTTCAGTGAATAACTTTGCACTCTTGATAATTTTCGATTTTTCCATTTGTTTTCGATATATATTGAATTGAAAGGATTTCAAATTTTGATGTTTTGATTTTCATTTGTTTTTCCATTTTCCGATGGATGCACGAAAAAATGGTGATATAATAATTTGTTGCGTCATCGAAGAAGCATACGGTGCATTTTTCAAATTTGGATTTGGTCTATTGGTTCAGGAGATATGTCGTTTAAAGCGAACCGTGTTTTTAGGAAAATCTCCTTGAAAAACCCACTTGGAATTTTCCGACCCTGCTCAATTTCAATAGGCTTCGTCTCTCCCTGATAGAGTTTTTTTTTCACGAAAAATGAAATCGATCGGACCACTTTTGCGATTAGTAGAGTGGTTACAAGAAATTTCCGGTGAAAAATCGAAAAAACCCGGAAAAACCCCCTTAGAGTTTTCCGATTTCCTTCATATTTTAATGACATAATATTGTTTTGAGTACAATAAGATGGCAGAATTTCAAGTCGATATGTCAAAGGGTTCCGGAGATATATCGATTTATGATTAACACAGAGTACAGACAGACAGACAGACAGACCACACACAAAAACCAAAGTTGCTCAAAATTCGATGGGGATCATTTTCTCCAAAGTAACTATGCCTCTATCTCGCTTAGTTTCCGAGATAGCATTTTTGGCAAGGCCGTAGTATACTCCACTATGTATAGCGTCGTATAACAATTTCAACAATCAAAAACACTTTCATTCACTCAGGACGGCTTGTACAAAGATGACCGTGTATAAAAATACAACATCGACAAGTGATTCGTTCTGATGCTACGATGCTAATGACTACTAAACCTGCGTCAATCTGCGATCACACGATGATTACGAATACCGATGAGCCGTTCTTCTCAATTACGGGGTGATTTGAACATCCTCTCTGATAATATTTATATTCGAAACAATTTTTGTAACGCTGAACCTCATTTCTTTCTAATAATACTATATCTGGCTATTCTCGCCATTCTCTGATGTATGGTTCATCGATTGCTAATTTTTTGACTTGTTGTGAATGGAGAGGTTCAAACTAGCATCATATCTACCCAGAAAAATTACGTCAATCTGGAATCGATATTTCGTGCTTTCGTAGTTCTCCGAACTATGAGAAGAAAGCATAATATCATGATTTGCTGCTTCATAACAGTAAATTTGATCGAGGCATTTGTACATTGGCTAAGTAGAAATCAAATATTTGTACAAAACGTTGTATTTGGTGCGAAATATTTTATTAAATTTTCCGTAGCAGAGCGTTTTTTACTATACACTCATCATCAGTAATCTCCCTTGCAGCTGAAATATTACCGATGATATTTTCAAGGGTCGCGAATGCTTTTGTTGATAGAAATTTATCCCGAGTTGAAGATGAGCGAAATTACGACGCAAACATATTAAAATTTATTCAACTTGATTATTTGGCACTGACAAGCAATTGGATTTTTCTTTTAGGCTCCCTGCTGATAAAAAAGTCGGAAGCGCTCTGACACGAAATACAACATTTTGTATAACTATTTGTATATCCTCGTTCACACAGCTAATTTATCCTCACTCAGTATAGGAAGTGCAAAAGGAAGCAACCAATACACATGATGCTCCGGTACGAGTGTGTAAAAAATAAGTAGTTTTTATTGAAATGATGAATATCTTGAACAACATTTTACGATAGTTGAAAATTGATACATCTTCGTGTCTATATGTCTGTGTCATTTTGTTCTATTATCAGTTCCACTTCAAGAAATAACAGCTTGTTGTCAATAATATAGAAACCAATTGATGTTAGCCTTTCATTTCCACTTTTCAAAGTTCATGAATGACTCATAATTCACACTAAACCCTCTCGCACGGCTTTCTCGTTATCTTTACCTAACTTAATCAGCCAATCTACACGATATCCATAAATAACTATCTATTACGTGTTAAACAATTTGATACAATAATACACCGTTTCAATAATGACATTGCAATGAATTGCTAAACAACATTCTTCCCTCAAGTGTTTCAAATGCAACAGAAATCAGATAATTATTTGTAGTATAATGTTATTCGTGGATTGTCAGTGGATTTTGGTATTTTCTTGAATTCATTTATCTCTTCAATTTGAATCTGACTACATTTTGTTTGTTTAGGGCCCCATTGGATTAGATGGACCTAAGGGAGAACCTGTAAGTATTGATGATGATGTTGGTTTCGAGCTGAATCGCAATTCGTTGAATTTCCAGGGCCGGACAGGAGACAAGGGTCAAAAAGGCCAGCCGGGTAGTGCCGGAATTGACGTCCTTCAAGCTGTCAAGGTGAGGTTTGGTGAAATTCAATTTTTTTTCCATCCAGAGATGCTTTCATAATTGTATTTGTTTCAATCAGCTTCCAGGAAGGGTACGTATGGAAGTAAAGATTACATGTTTTGTTTCTAGTTTCCCCATAATATTATCTTTTGTTTTTCTCAAGGTGAAATATTGGTAATTCTGAAACTCATCCATTCAATAGCAAAATTTCTCGTGTATTGTGTATTTTCAATAGGAGTATCCGATCGATAGAAACGAAACATGTAATTCATTTCCCTGTTGCTCTTCCAGACTCTGAAGAGATCGGTAACAACGCTACGAGGAGGAACCTTGGGGTACGCCGAAATTGTGGCTGTCAAGGTGAGGACACAATTGCCTCGACGGCAGTTTCCGAATTTTCCGTGTTGTGGATTTTGATTTTTGTGGAATGATCGTATTTTGAAAGTATACTCAGATCCGATAAGTTGTTTCTATCAGTATAATTGAACATGTGATTATTGATGAGAAATGATATGCCTCAAAGTTGTTGTTGACTACAATCCATCAAGGATGGAAGAAGTTTCTCATAAGCAGTGCAGCCTCAAATTATCTGCAGAAACAGTTTTGACATGATCTCTATACCTTTCATCTATCATTCATACTTTGGATTTCATTCAATGCGATGTATATGTCAATTGCATTTATGCTAATACGTATGTGAACAATTTTATAATCTTTGACTGGTCGATATGTTCACATCCAAAATTGATACTTCCTGATAAGATTTATAGCTTATCAAAAATTATCTGATTCTGGTTTTGATCTTGTTTTTTCACCAATTGATTTTGGAACAATGATTTCAGTCATCTCTGTATTGATTGATTCAAAGTATGTCGTGATATATATGTTTTTGAATATATTTTGCCATCTATTTTTTTTTTCAGCATGACAGTCCAGGAAGAGTTTATTTGTGTTTAATAATAACTGTTTTTTTTGCTTTTTTGTGTATTTACTTGTAGTATAATTTTAGGGGCTACAGGAAAGAGGCCATAATATTTCCGGTGAAACAATCATCACACTAAAAGTGAGTTTCTTCGCGATATCTAGTCATCATTTCATCATCTTGCTACTAACCAAAACTCCTCTATCGCTTTTCAGTAATTAAATTCAAGCTTCTGAAACTCTACTTCGTTGATAATGTTGGAAGCTAGTAACTATTCAAGTAAATTCAATCAATCGTCCATGTTTTCTGAATAGGATTGCTAAATATCAATATTCTCGAAATCCATAGCGAGATATTTTATTTTATGCGTTCCACGTGGACGTATTTGGTCGCTTCTGAAATATGGGCGAGCGGAAATTAGTTACTTTTATTTTCCTGGAAATTATCCGGTAACATTTGCTCCCTATCGTAACTTTTGCACGTAATACCGGCTTTAATTTGACGTTGCTGCACCATCCGGTTTAATTGCAGTAATAAATAATTCTTCCACATATTCCTCACATTCTATACAGGGTGTTCAGGATGCGAGATTACCTCGCGTTATAAAGTGCACGTTCTTATACAAGTGTGGAAACGTTTTATCTTCTCATAGCATATAAGCCAATAAGCCATAACGTGGCATACATCAAGGAATATCTTTATTATTTTTTTCTGGAATTTGTCACGTTGAAAATGAATTTTACTGGAATGCAGCGATGTCGAATAAATCATTTTTAGTTCATATGTTTGCATGCTTTTATACAAATCAAAATTTCATTCTGAGTGCAAATATCGATGCAAGGGAAGTATATCGGAATAGAAACCCAATAACATGTGTTTCATGACCTGAAGATACGAATTTTCGAGTAATGTCATAGTTATTAACTTATTCTGCATGAAAAGTAGTGTGACGTGAGACCATCCTGCTAAATATTGCATGATGAAGTGGCAATCATACTTGGTGAAATCATGAAAAAAAATTCAAACTCAGATAATTTCTGCGACCATCTAAGATGAGAAGTTGCACTCAGATTGGAAATCTACCATAAAAAAAAATCATGAAAAGTTGTTGTCATGCGCTCAAAATCCCAACTTTGATGTTTCTTTAAGGGTGAACCTGGAGAACCCGGCCCACCAGGACCACCTGGAACGCCGGGTCCCGAGGGAATGCCGGGACACGACGGCAGACAAGGGATGTCTGGCGAGCCAGGGCCGGCTGGGGAGCGTGGGGAGCCAGGTCCTATGGGACCCCCTGGGCCCCCTGGTATGGATGGGTTGATTGGACCTAAGGTAATGAACAATAATACATAGTACAATTCATGGATACTATTTATAATGAAAATTACATCTGACGCCGGAAATGACTTCTGATACTTTGAAATGATTTGAGTCTGAAGATGAAAAGTATCTTACGACTTCACTTATTTTCTTCACTATACATTATCTTCTAGGGTGATAGAGGTCCTTTCGGAAAATCTGGAGTTTCTGGATACCCGGGATTGCCAGGACATATGGGTTTGCCTGTGAGAATATTTTATTCCTTTACATGGTGTGTCTTTAAATTGTTCATTCTCAATGCAGTAAAAATGTTTATTCACAGTAACTTGAGACAAATTCGAGTTTTTTTCTCTAGGAAAATATCGAATTCACTACATTCATTATCAATGGGGAAGTTTTCTTCAGATGATTTTTCATAAAATAAGTTCGGAACTCTCCAGTTTTATGTCCACGCTGTACAGAATGGCGACCGATAATGTCCAAGTCGTTCTCATTTTCAAATTAAAGCAATTTCTGATTTTCGGAGCGGCAAACTGTGACGTACATTCTGAATCTAGTGTGAATATAGCTGATGGTGAAGAATATAGCTAGCGAATAGCTAACGATTAGCTAACGAATGAAAAACGAATGAAAAAAATAGAAGAAGACATAAGACTGTTAAATAAAAACATACATAACCCCAAATGCACTCGGAGCAGGAATGCAGAAGGTAGTTGGCTTCATTCTGACAGGTTATGGTTTTGTTATTTGTGCATTGAAATATCTCGAATAGAGCTCGATCCTAAACGAAAATATCATTGAATCAATTAATCAATATCGGGTACATTCAATGATACTTTCCTTCCTGATTTACTGCCATCGGTCAGAAGAGAATGGAGCCGACACCCATGGCTCCTTTCTCTTGTTGTGCCTGTCAGTATTTTGAGTGGTGTGAGCAGGCTCGAAGTATTAGGCGCTGTTGCAAAATATAATCTGCAACTTTTCTAGAATATAGATCCGTTTTATAAAGGAACGAATTCATTAGCAAAAAAATCAATGGCAACTTATGAATAACATATTTTAATATTACGATAGTGTAAAATTATGGCTACTATCGCAAAATATCATAATTTATCTTTATTAGTAATCAACTCCATTCAGCCAATGAAATATTAATGGGAATTATTTATAATACTTGACAAAGTAGGATTGAAGAACCTATATTATATCCCATTGCTGTTATGATATAGTTATTATGCATTCAAAGAACAATTTCCGGAAACCTAGACATATTTATGATGTCGGCAACGTCGTACTGGCACAGGGAATCGTATTCTAACTCTGTGTGAATGTGGATTTTCAGATAGTACGGCATAGGAATGGTGGAGGAGCTAAGTTCCTCTTTTATTCATTTTTTTCTGAAGTGAAATTTGATCTCACGAAAAAAAGAAAAAATACGATATTAATTTTTCACAAACTTCACAGTGAGATAAAAACCTCAATATAGGAAACTTCCCCATTCTTGGTACATCGCCCGAAAAGAGGATTTGTAAAACGATAGGGCAACATGGCGAAAATACAAATGAATGGATGTGCAATCTAAACTGACACACTATACATATCCTCACGCAATAATTGTATGTTCATCACTGAATTGTATTCTTATATCATTTAGGGTATACCTGGTAGGAACGGGACAAAAGGTGAACCAGGTTTGACTGTAAGTTCATGTCTCGTAAACTGAGGAACTTCTAACACTCCTCAGTAGAAGTAGCTACATGTGACTAATGCCAATATGGCGAAATCCTCGCTTTCTAGAATCGTATCCAACAGTTCTTCTCAATACCACAATACCCCTGTAATTGATAGTATGTGTCTGCTAGGGTGTAGAAAGATACATCCGCGAATAGTAGAAGAACCCTTATAGAATCTAACATTCACTTCTTCCTAATACAGCACTGTAGAAATGAACACGAACCAAATGGTTATGTTTAAGTTTAGTGAACATTTAATCTGTGTACTGAATCCGATGGAAATACCAGTGATACCAAAAGTATTCCGAAGCTTTATACAAGATTTGGAGGAGATCATATTGTTGCTTCATCTTCAAACAGAACCTTTACCTACTCTTGGAGCAACATTTCTCTATTTTTAGTATTAGTATAATGGTGGTGGCAATTTGACCGTGAAACAGTGAGGTAAATGAGAAGATGGATGTGATTTTTGTTTTGCAGGGTGATAAAGGTGATAAGGGAGAGAGAGGTCTGACGACGACGTTGACAGGAGATCAGTTCCCTACCGGTATCATCGAGGGACCTCCTGGTCCTCCGGGACCACCAGGTGAGTTCTTCGAAATCGAAGAAGAATCAGAAGAATTCAAAATTCATATCCCTATTTTTTTTAAACTCTGGTTTTACTTCATACTTTGATATTTTTTCGTAATTTTTTTTTCAATTTTTTTACTATTCGAGTTTTACGATGAGGAATGTTGAATTTGAATACTTATTACAAGGTGAAAAGGGTGAATTAGGACCTATAGGACCGCCAGGATCGACTGGAGATAAGGGTGCAAGGGGAAGGAGGGGCAAGAAGGTAATGTACTTTTTGCGATCCAGGCTCTCGATGTCACGATTTGATCAATAAAATAATTGACCAATGATATTCATTTGTAAATCTTTATTGTTCTTGGTGACAATGGCTTAGTTGAATTTAGATTCGAAAGTTTTATGATATTGATCAATCATGACGTCTTTAAACAATCTAACCAACTACATCTCATTGCATAGCTTCAAACAAGGGGATATTTTGAAGGAGCATGATTAATTCCATAGGCATGACCAGTATTGCTTGTACTTTTGTGAATGAGTATGCTGTAGCATCCAGCATGTTATTATTATCTAGAATAATATAGATATATTCAAATGTTTATTCCTCTTAGTTAACAAATTGTACAGGATTATGAATAACTAATATGTTTATTTGCTACACTTCATCCTACCCCTGTATTTCTGAATGCCTTTTACTATCATCAAAATTTATTGAATTGAATTTATGGTTCAGATTTACATGGGTGATGTAGAGCAAATTGCATCACACTATATTCAATATACACTGACTTTTTATTTTTCATGAACTTTATGTTATGATGTCGAATGGAGCATTTTCATTATCTCATGACCACTATTGAAATACTAAATATTTTCAATTTGAGCTCTCCTATTGAACATGCTCTATTCCATCATGTGTATAATTAATTTCATTTACAGTAACTTATGGTTATTTTTTCCCACACTGCACTAAATTGCTAATTAACAAGGATTTGATTTGGTAGTGTTTCATGTAGCTGCTTCATTTTAGTAAGTATATGTTATTATTGTTTTCCATAACATTCGCCATTTTTATTTATTCTGATTCGCTATTTACCAAATTATTACGTTTACTTCTCCAAATATTCGAAACCACGAGATTTTTTTGATCATATATAGTCTTTATATGTATTCCTCTAACTCTGAATTTCATAGTCTCTTATAGCCTCTCAAAAAAATTGAAGGAAATCACGATTATTATAATGATCACTAATTGATCCACTCATATTTCTTCATGATTCATCTGATTCATTAAATTTTTTGAATACCTCAGAAATGGAAAATCTTTGGCATTATCATATTTGTCTTTTTATTCGTTAAACTAAACACATTTCTCATCATTTTAGTAGATTTGTTTTGAGTTTTTATTACTTATTTGATTTCAGGCATGTTTCATAATTTTTTGTATTATATATATTGTTCATACCTGAATAGAAAATCGATATGTATGAGTTTTTATAGTATTTCTCTAATTCCATTTCGAAATTATTGGAATGTATAGGGTGAATCAGCCTATACATTTCATAGGAGAAAAATCTAACTTTGAATCCCTTTCAATTATTTGTTGTTTTTGAAGCTATGCTCAATGAGTGGTTGATTGTTTAGGGCCTTGATGGCAGTGCATTATCGAGAGGCCTTCCAGGAGAAAAGGGAGATGTAGGCGAACCTGGCCTAAAGGGTGAAAAGGGAGAAAAAGGGTTAACTGGCTTCCCAGGTATACATTGATTGCGATAAAAACAAAGATATCCTTCATTTTTTCTCGAAACCGGACACTTGTCAATTATGTATCGGCTAAATCTCCTAGACTTTACTACAAGTCGTCTGAAATTTCAATATTTCGAGTTCGAAAATATCTCAGAAAGTCTCAAAATTGAGTAGGAGAGTCTCGGAATTTTAGTTTGCAAGATGTAATCAAGGGATTGATTAGATAAAATTGATGAAAACTATATTTTCGAAATAATTACAATTTTGTTCAATTTCGATGGACCCTAATCATCGAATTTCGACTAAATGCGAGTAAATTTTAATTATTTTCAAACGAACTCGAAAATTCATAAGCATTCGATAAGAGACAATTATAATGCCCTCATTCTCTTTTTGCAAGAAACACTGTGAATCAGTAAATTGATTATCGTGAGTTGAGGAATCCAGGCAAACAGTACAAATAATCATCCATTTATGAAATTTAAAATCGAAGAGAATTTTTCAGAAAATCAATTCGATTCGATTCAATATAAACTGTCTTCAAATTCCCAGTGGATGGTGATAATCAATAACAAAATTTTCCTGTTCTTAGGGCCAAAAGGTGATATGGGAATAATAGGTAGCCCCGGAATACCCGGAGTTGACGGAGAAACCGGTCCACAAGGTCCTCCGGGACATCCCGTAAGTTTTCCACCTTCCTTCCTACCTAGAACTAAGAAACTCAGTAGCTATGTTCATTGAGTCTAGTTTCGAGGTGCTTTCCTGTCTGGCCTATGTATACTTTTTAAAAATTATCTTATTCCACAAATTATTCGTTTTATCGTTTATTCTATTTCAAACGATATTTCAGGGCCAATTTGGAGAAAAGGGTGAGAAAGGGGACTATGGGGACATCGGACCTCCAGGGATGATGGGTCCGCCAGGTTTACCTGGCCCGCCAGGCTACCCTGGTGCAAAGGGTGAAAAAGGCGAGAAAGGTGATTCGGTAAGTCGATTATTCTCTCAAGGACCATCGGGAAATTGCTTTCTAACCATGTGAACTAACGATGATGTGAGATAAAAATCAGAGAAGAAACTGTGAAGGATGCTTCAGTTTTGTTTAGAAAATGTGAAAGTTTACAGTATCTACTGATTTCCATCTCATTATATTTTCCAATAGTTTTCTAATTGAAATTTTCAACTGAAATTTTGCCACCTACATAACATTTAACAATAAACTATGTAGCTTTTTAATGCGTAAAAGAGTTTTCCCTAACAAGTAATAAACCATTGATCTTCAGTAGTTTTATGAAAGAGCATGTTCTAAGAAGGAATGTTATAATGAATGCAGGGCTCTCAGATTCCTTCAGGTTCGACATCAGACGCTTTTACGTATAATTGATTATATTTTCAAGTGACAGACCTGTATTCGAAAATAACCGAAATTGACAGTCTTTGAAACTAAATATTTGAAATATATGAACTGACATACATACAAAATCTTGTGATCTTTGTTCAATGCTCAAGAAATGAATGCTCTCTTGAAGTTTTCATGACTAGTGTAGACGTAAATTAATTTAGAAATATTTAAATTGTATCCTATATATTTTTCGTTTTTTATGTCAACTGCATGATTTTGTTTTATATCATTATAATTTCAACTTGCATGTTTTGATTCGTACTATTTTCGAGTATAAGAGATTTATAGAAATCTCCACGCACCCTCTAAAGATGTCTTCTATCACCGTGATCTAATTTGGAATGCTTTCTGAATATTCAGCGCCCTTTTACTCCAAGGATATTTAGACTATAACTCCAGAGCTTTTAACCAAATTGAATTTGCATCTAATGCTAGCAACCCTCTAGATATTATATCAACGCTTTTTCTTTTTTTTTCCGGAACGTCTCGTCCTGTATAGAAGTACAAAAAACTCAGAAGGCGACAGGTAAATATTATAGGATTACTTCGAAATAATTTGATCTACGTTCACAGTGAGAAACTTGTCTATTTCTTATGATCATCTTTAGAAATATAATTTTCCATAAAAGATATTCAAAAACTCAATGTCAATATCAGATTCATGAGTCAAATTCACTTTCAATTTTTTCAGCTGCTGTTCCAATTCATGTAAGAGATTCGAATCATACATTTTCACAACTTGCTTGTCAACCGCTCTCAAATTCACGATAAATGATCTTACCTGGTATATCTTACTGACTCTGATGTGTTGTTGCACTGTTGATTTTCAACCACACTCAATTTCTCACTGTGAAATAAAATAACAGAGATTGTAAATTGGAATACATTAAAACGAGATACCTGTCTTGACAACTTTATCTTTTGTTTTTATTTTCTTTACTGTTCCAGGGTGATAGCGCTGGGGAAATAATAAACGCCGATATGGTGAGTGGTTGGAGCTTCAATTAAAAAAAAAACAAATAAAAATCTCTTCCGTGTCTTCAACAGAGAACTAACAAGTTATTTTTTCGACATCCTGATAACAAACAATTTATACCGCCCCGTAGTAAAATTTTTGTTAAAGCCATCGATGCACAAGAATATGCATTTTTCATTTTCCCCTGTAGGTGTTTGGCCCCCCAGGACCTCCCGGTCCTATGGGTCCTCCTGGGCTCCAAGGCCCTCCAGGGATAAAGGGCGATAGAGGAAGAGACGGCCTCAAGGGAGAACAAGTGAGTAACGAGGACAGGATTTCCGAAGAAACTTTCCAAGATTTTTTTATTGTTCCTTGATTTTGAGAAACGTTGAGCCAATCCTGGAAATTTTCAATCGACCTGTATTTGGAGGAAATCGAGAGTAGGTATTGGGCGAAGTGGGTCAACCCCCACCCTTCCTATGCAAAGCACTTGAAAGGTAGGGGTGGGGGTGACCGACTCGACAAAAACCTACTGTTGACTTCCACCTTAGAGCTTTTTTTTATTGTTTTGCGATTTCTTGCTGCTTAAGTTTTTAGATTAGACGTAGATGTAGATACAGAGTGTGTCCTCAGGTGGAAAACTTTTTTACGGTTACGATTAGGATATTATGACGAATTTGTTACACGAAAATTTCAGTTGAAATCCGAGTTTTTCTCGTTGACTATATCGCGCGTCCCTCTGGGGATACCCTGTCGTACGAAATTGTGAAAATAATTGTTTACATTCATCGTTATTTTTTTCTAACAGGGCGACAAAGGCACTAAAGGAGATCCAGGCCCAATGGGACTACCCGTGAGTATGGTTTTTCGATGTGAAGTGTGTGGAATGAAAGGAGGCAAATGATATTTAGCTAGGTACTCAAAATAATTATTTCACATTCCCCAAAGCAATAATTATTTCTTGCAGAAACTAAAATATATTAAACATACATCTAAGATTGCGAAAAATGATCACAGGGTTCGTATTTAATCAAGCAGGAGACAGACTATGTGGTATACACCTTGAGACTCCATTTTGTTATGTATGTATATTCAAACTTCTTATGGTCTCAATTTGTTTAACATTTTTTGGGTATTCCACTTTGTCTTTGTCACACTCACAGAAATGATATATACAGGGTGTTTCACAGGTAAAGGGAAATATTTCAATGGTAGATAGGGGTCACCAAGGTGGTTCTTAAAATACCATATTTGATAGGTCTTAGAGTCTTTATAACGGAGATACAGGGCGATTTATCGATTTCGAATAATTATTCATTCTTCAATATGTATTGACCTACCCAGTATATTTTTCTAAAATTTGGTATAGAGCTTATACTTGGGACGTTGAATTTATTCACCTATCGGGCGAAGTGAAAATCCAGGATCGGCTTCAGGAAAAATTTACATTTATTCGAAATATCAAAATAACACACTGTATGTAATAATTGAAAAAGTTCATCAAGGAATCGTGAAGAGGAGGAAAAACTGAACTCGATTTGATGCTTTTTGTTTTCCCGCCACCAATTCTCATCGTAAAATAGAAATAAATAGAAAGCTGAAAGTATTTCAATTTGAAGAGTATTGAAATTATGAAACCAGTGTCAATTATGATTATTCGATATATTTTAGTCAAAAAATCGCTCGATAGAACTTACTAAGTCTCACAGTTTTTATAACGGAGATACAGGGTGAATTATCGGTTTTGAATAATTATTCACTCGTCCATAAGTATAAAACTACCCAGTAACATTTTCTCGAATTTGGTATGTATCTTACTGGGGACGATGTATTCATTAACCTACCAGGCGGAATGGAAATAATACCAAATAATTATTTATTTATTTATTTATTTATTTATTTATTTATTTATTTATTTATTTATTTATTTATTTATTTATTTATTTATTTATTTATTTATTTATTTATTTATTTATTTATTTATTTATTTATTTATTTATTTATTTATTTATTTATTTATTTATTTATTTATTTATTTATTTATTTATTTATTTATTTATTTATTTATTTATTTATTTATTTATTTATTTATTTATTTATTTATTTATTTATTTATTTATTTATTTATTTATTTATTTATTTATTTATTTATTTATTTATTTATTTATTTATTTATTTATTTATTTATTTATTTATTTATTTATTTATTTATTTATTTATTTATTTATTTATTTATTTATTTATTTATTTATTTATTTATTTATTTATTTATTTATTTATTTATTTATTTATTTATTTATTTATTTATTTATTTATTTATTTATTTATTTATTTATTTATTTATTTATTTATTTATTTATTTATTTATTTATTTATTTATTTATTTATTTATTTATTTATTTATTTATTTATTTATTTATTTATTTATTTATTTATTTATTTATTTATTTATTTATTTATTTATTTATTTATTTATTTATTTATTTATTTATTTATTTATTTATTTATTTATTTATTTATTTATTTATTTATTTATTTATTTATTTATTTATTTATTTATTTATTTATTTATTCATTTATTTACGAATAGGAATACGAACGGGACTAACCCAAAAGTATTCACAGATATGTCATATCTCATCATACAGATATATTAAAACTAAAAAAATCGAATATCAATTACAAAGTTGATGAAAATCAATAATTGGAGTAATTATAAATGATTGAGTATAGGTACAACATGTAGTGATTGTAGTGTGTTGATACAAACAAAGGTGAAATAATTTTATTCAGTACATATTAAGACGTTAAATTATAATTCGATAATTCACCCTGTATCTCTGTTATAAAGACTATGAGACTATTCCTGAAGCTGAACCTGTATATCCATTCTGCCTGATAGGTCAATGAATCCATCGTCCCAAGTAAGCTCAATACCAAACTTGAGAAAATATTACTGCGATGGGTAGTTTAATACTTATGGACGAGTGATAATTCACCCTGTATCTCTGTTATAAAGACTGTGAGACTTAGTAAGTTCTTCAAAATATTTCCCTTTATCTGTGAAACACCCTGTATATATACAGTTGGCAAACAGTCACAGGTACAAGTACATGTTTGTAACACTGGATCGGCGACACTTCTTTGATAATTCAACACTTGATTCAAAACTTCTATATGAATTGAATGGGTTGAGTTCAATATTTAACTAACCGAACGGAGATCGATACATCGTATTGAAGTCAATTCAAATACTTCTTCAAGACTGTTCAAGACTGAATGACTGAATCTTACTAGATTTTCCTGCTTTTATATCAAAATTTGGCCATACATTCAAGCAGAGTCCATTCGATTTTCGTTGGAATGAAGTGATTTCGGATAGAAATCGAAATATATTAAGAAAAACTGATTCAGATGTTTCCAGAAATATAGTTTCCAAAATAATGGAACTCTGTTATAAATCATCTAGCAAAGACTAAATTCAATTCTACCTCGGATATTACTTGAACTAAAAGGTAGAAGAAGAATTTCGATGTTCGAAATGATTTTAAACAAATTGCTTTTCTTCATTAATCATCTGGCATTTACTTGGCCACTCTGCTGATGATCACTTCGATCTTCAACTTTTATCTTTTATGAATTCCCTGTACACTGTTTCAACTTTAAATGTCTTGACGCTGTTATGTGATATTTTCTCAACATGTCGCCAAATACTTGATAAAAAACCTATTCGTATTATGCATTCTCACCTATATATGCCTTGTGAAACACTTGATGAAGATATTTCGACTTCATGTACCGAAATATTAACTGTCCTAATTTGAATCGACCATCTACTTTCTAAGTGCATTCGTTCTCGTGAAAAATATTTCTCTCTTTTACCCACTCAATTCGCAGTCTCAGGTACATCATCATCTAGATATCACATCGTTCAAAAACCAGTGGATGAGTAATATAAAACGATATTCTAGGGTCCCATGGGCCTGAGAGGTGAAAGCAGCAGACCAAGTGAATACAGCAATACTGGTCCCTTGGTAAGGAAGCCGTATTATTCGTCGCTGCATAACTATAGGCCTAGGGATACCTAGTCGAACAGAAACTACTTCTAACAAATTAACCGAACAGTCTCAGTAACAATATTAACAACAATTTCGACGTTGGATGGACAATAAAATGACGCGACGAAAGACTCAACTGCCATATGAAGCAACTCTATCGAAGGCTTTTCACTAAATTAATACTTGATATCGATTTCCTTATGACCATGCAAAAATTCGAACACCACAATTTTCTGATCTAGGTACACATGCTGCTAAATGCATAAAAGCAGTTTTCCAATTATTTTATATAGGTTATCATCTGTAAATGAGCCAAAAATCAGTTCACAGTTTTTTTAAATATTTTTCATCAGCTCGAACACTCGTAGCTTGTAGATTATTGAAAATAAAAACAAAAACTGTTCGTTTATCAAACTATCTTTGAAAACGACAAAAGCATTGACACCGCTCAGAAAAGACATCGTTATAAAGTGTAAGGGAAAAGCAAACGAGTGAACTCGGTATAAAGCAAGCGAACAGTCAAGGTAAAAAACAATGAGAGTCTACATTCCGCACTGTGAATTTTGTGTGGTCGTAGAGGAAAAATGTGTACATTTCTGCCCACTCTGAGACATACCTACTGAACGTGTGAACCTTTATTGGCCATTTCATTTTATAACAAGTTTTATAACAGTTTGAAATGTTCTTTCAGGTATGTTCTCAAGGGCGTACTCACGTTATATTTAGTTGTAGGAATTTACTAATGTCTCTGTATTTAGTTCGAGTATCAGCTGTAATTTTGCGCTATTCCAATATTTATTGAAGTTATTTTAAGGGCCCATATTCTATTTATTGTATGAATCACTCAAAAGAAATAGTAAACATAGGTTCACAGTACAAATGAATCCACGAACATGAATCAAACTTCACCATTTTTCAGATATCAAGTTTCTAATTAATTACAGTCGTGTGATTAATTTCATCAGGCTCCTCAGTTTTATCGGTGATTTTATTCTGAAGTTATTTCAATATACTCTATTCATATCAACTATACTATAACCTCGTTTGAATACTTAAATAAGAAACTGTTAACGTCCATTATAGTACTTATATAAGGCAAAGTATGGATTTGTATAATAATTGAATGATGTTGATTTTTATATTAAAATACCCACATTTCAATTTCCATGTTTCGTTTGTGAGAGGTGATCTTTTTAAACCGTATTCTCATCATTAACCAGTGTTGTAATATAAATGTTACATTTTTTTAGGTGTTTTATAGTAGATTAAGATATTGTAACAGAGTTGATGAATAACGAGACCACTTTTCAAAATTAAAACCATCTCTTCCTCCCTTCCATAATAGCGACTTCTTTTTGTAAAGATAAATATAAATTTCCCATACAGGTGAGTTGAAAAGATGTGGATGGTTTCAATTGTGAAAATACTCTACAATAGGATCTTGATGACCTTGAAATTTTCGGTATTTCTGGTTACTTTCCCTCTCGATTCCTGAACCGTGGTTATGTTTGAGATATTTCAAATGATTCCGCACCTTTGCATGCGCATCAAGGTGCGCGAATGCCCTATTTTCATTTTGTCGCAGAACATCCTTCGTTCATCTACTGAATGGAAACTGCCAAATTTCAAGGTTTCGAGATTACTTTGTGAGAGTGAAACGTCTCTGGAGCATAATAATGTGACTGATAATGGTTTAAGGATTTTTGGAACCTGAAATTGTAAGATATCTTCGATTTTAATATAAATTAGTTAGTTTCTTAGTTATATTTATATGTACTGTCGAATAAATAAATGTATGTGCATGTGCTGTAAGTATTAAAGAATGCTTCAATTTATATAAAGCTTCCCCATATCTTTCATCCTACATTTCCTTCATCAATAAACGAAATAAATTGCAGAAAATGTCTTTCCTATTCATACCATTTTCTCCGAATACGTTCTGGACTAAGCATGATGCATACACTCGGTCATCTGCATTTTGATATGATTCATCTGCATAATATCGAAGGTTTTTCATTAACCGAGTTTTGTAATTTTTTTAATTCACAGGGTCCTCCTGGACTTGATGGGATGAAAGTGAGTATCAACATTTTTCCATCTATTCATTTGCATATTCATCAAAAACTCAATTCAAAAATATCAGAAACTCATACGGAAATGGGAAAATTATCTAGACAATTTATACAAGGTTATTCTAAAATAGGTGGTCAAACTTTGGGAGCATATAGAGTGGGTAAAATAGTTACGAAAACCTCCGTAACATTTTTTTCTGAAGTGACCCCCAAGAAAGATACAGCCCCTCAAAGGAGGGCCTCGGAGAATGATTTTGTATTATTATCTCCAACACCTTGTGTGATGAAAATCTGAAATTCTGTCCATCCACTTACTATTCAGTGCCGGTTCGAATGGAGTTGAAATCACCTCAAAATTAAATACAGGGGTGTGTCAAAATAGGGAGGTAGGGGGTAAAAATAACCCCAACATTTTTGTTCATCGCAATTTCAGTTTTTTGACATGCAATTATGAAATCTCAGGGCTATTTACATAGAGAAGGTGCTCTTGTTGCATCTCGATAAAATGATCTATTAGCGAATAAAACTTATTTTTTCAAGATTTCATTTAGATTGCGATTTTGGTATGTACTTAAGTTCAATTGTCTAGGTCAAATCTCGCAACTGAATTTTTACCTACTTCTAATCGTCTGATCAACTTAGAATCTGGCAGATGACAGTTGAAAATGCGTTATGGCGGCTCCAATGTGGCTAACCAGATTTGTGATTATTACGCTGAAGAAATGTTGCGGATCTCGATATCATCGTGATAGAGCGTGATAGAGCTTGCCTCTCCCCAGAATCTACGTTCCATTTTATTGGAGTTATGTTGTATGAAAATGTAATAAAATAAGATAGAAAAAATCAGTGAAAATAATGCTTCCATTCAAATGCTCCAGGAAGTGGAAGAAGATATCTAGAAGCATTTTCTTCTCATTTTTAGAGCATTCACCTTACTTCATCTTCAATTTTTTATTTCAATGGAATATTTTTTATTTTAGTATTTTCAATAGGATCAGACCATAATCACGAAACTCGTCGTCTATTTTTAATTCATGAATTCCAACAACGAATTCAATCATCTATCATTCTATCAAAAAGTCCATAACGCGTTGTCAACTGTCATCTGCCAGATTCCAAGTTGATCAGACGATTAGAAGTAGGTAAAAATTCAGTTGCAAGATTTGAACTAGAAAATTAACAAAGGCTCTTTTTTATGTTAATAGCTCTGAGATTTCATAATTTCATGTAAAAAAAAAAAAAACTGAAATTGTATTTAATTTTGAGGTGATTTCAAATCCATTTGAACCGGCACTGAATAGTTAGTGGATGTACAAAATTTTAGATTTTCATCATACAAGGTGTTGGAGATAATAATACAAAATCATTCTCCGAGGTTTTCGTAATTATTTCACTCACTCTATATACTCCCGAAGTTTGACCACCTATTTTAGAATCACCTTGTATATTCCGTGAAAATGTTATTACATACATGCACATCGATATGATAGAGTCTAATGAACATTTTCAAAATATTAGATTCTTCTAACAAGTAATTTCATCATCATCTATATATTTTTTTGAATGTCCGTAGCTAGTGAAACTCCCAGCAAATTGAAGAAATAGGGGCTTTCTTGGGAGAATTTATTAAATATTTCAAACTCACTTGTATCAATTTTGGATTTTGGATTGATTTCCATTTTGATTTTCATCTCATTTTCCCCTCATAAATTTCAAAGGGCTCACATTTTTTATGTCCTGTAAAGGGTGCCCAGGGCGAACCAGGAAGTAAGGGTGAAAGAGGTGATCCAGGACTTCCGGTGAGTAATTTTCCATTCTTATTCTTGTTGAAACCGTCTCACTTCTTTTTTACTTGACTATTCCACTCTTGATCTCGAGAACCAATCAGAATCGACCATTTTCATGGTTTCTTCAGTATTCTAGCGATATTTTTTGTTTATTGAATTTTATCGAACTTGCTTTACCTATACAGAAGCCGAAGTGACCCACACGTGACCAACTAACCTCGTTTATCAGCGATAAAAATTTGACATCGTGACTGGTCAAGATTGCTTTGGATTCAAATCTGAGACAATAACCTAAGTCCTACTTTATTTTATTTACTTATAATTCGCGTTAGTGAGATATTTCGTACGAAAGGCGAGACAATTTTATTCTGGCTGGACGTTTCATGTGTAATTTAAAAAGTTTGCGCATATTTGTTGACGGTCTGACACAACAATAATAGAATTCAGATTCCTTTTTGAAGTAATCTTCTTCAAATACTCAAGTAATTGTGACTGACCAATATAATTACTAGCTGATGTGGCGCAACTGTTAGGGTTGTTTCGTGGGGATACGAAGGTCGATGGTTCGAGCCCACGGCGACGATATATTTTTTTAAATTATTCCATGTCACATAAATTCAATTTATTTTTTTTGAATTGGATAGTAATTGTATACACTCTTTTGAGAGCAACCATCTCCAAGATAATAAAAAAAATACTATTTATCAAAATTGTACATTCCACTTTGTGAATAACTATAAGTAGGTAGTTAATTTCTAAAAAAGTAAATTCTGTATTTCATTACTATCATTATGTTCTTCTTCGCAGATTGAGTTGTAATATACTCAAATTATTTTTTCCATTTCTCATATATTATATTATTGTCCTCATTCAATCATGAAATAGTCATACGAATACAACTCGTGATACTATTTTTCCTGGAAATATTCGTCGATTGACATACTCCAGCTTGCTGCTCTAATTACTACTATTACTAGGCAATAAGCTGTCGTAACAATCACCGAATATTTCCGGCAAAATATTATCACTTGTGGTATTATATATGAGTAAATTTTTATTTTTCTCAATTCCAGGGTACTGACGGAATTCCTGGACAAGAGGTACTAACAAATTAACAATTTTCACTGTATGCTGCATGATTCCATTTCCAATTCATAATCATCGTCAATTAAAAAAAAAAAAAAAGATAGCGCAACTTACAGATTATACCTAGACATATTGTCTGTCATGATTTAGTAGAACATTATTTCATATTCTAATTAGCCCTGTTGTTGAATAATTCTACTAAATCGATATCATCATCCCATTCTCATGTTCACACATTGTTCTAGGGTCCAAAGGGAGATAAGGGTTACAAAGGAGAAGGAGTAAGTGGACTTCTTTTATTTCTCAGATGCAAGTTTGCCAACCTCAATATCCCTTTGTTCATGGAATGTTGATTCTAGTTAAATTTCATCGTACCCTCAACTCTTTTGCTCTCAATGTCATTTACTTCCATGAGGATATCAACTAACCCAAAATATATGTTATTCGAGTGATATTCTTCATCCCAAGTGTCTTTTGATTGGCTTGACTGTGATATTTATTTTGTTCATGAAGATCCTCATAAAATTAAAATCATTCTACCTGTCGTCAATAATCATTTTTTCGGAAACAGAAAACATCTGCTCTTATCAATTTCCAGAAGCTATCAGATAACAAACAAATATTGCTGAAATAACATATGATGGCCATCAGAATGTTATAATAGGTCGTGAGCACGATGACCGACCTTGGAGCTAAAATATTGAAACACAACCTCACTTTTCTGTAAGACATTGAAACACAACCTCGCTCTTTTTATTTTTTTACAGAGGATTCAAAGGATTGAAATAGTTTTCCACAATATTTTGGTATACGAATCGTGTTTTTTACGCCATTCATTGATTCAAGCATGCCTTCTCATTGTGCTGTTGTACCTACAGTACACAAAAAATGCAACGAGAGACGAAGGAATATGATTTTTCAGGTAAATAGTAATCTCGCATAGTTTTCATTATGAAATGTTGTTATTTATTTTTATCAAAATTCCTTCTACCATTTCCGCAATAGAAGCTAATACTGCTACTAGATTGAAAATGTCTACAACACACACGATGATATTTCGTCAGCATGTCAGACCAGTCCTCCCGTTTGATTGCATGAATCCAATCTTCTTGCATTCTTTTAGAAATTTCACGAGTATTTCTATTAGCTCCTATTGCAGAAGGAATTCCGATTAGAAATCAGAGAAATTACCAGATTTCAAAATGAAAACTATATGTGAGTGACTATAGTAGGTACTTTTTTTTTATCGCTTGGAGCGCACGAAAGGGAATCCCTATAATGTTCAAAGAACATCGTGCGTTCCTAGGGAGGATAGGGACACGAGGTAGGTATTGGAATTTTTTTTGAACTTCTGGAGATTATATGTTGTTGGGAATACTTCCACAGACAATGATTTCCAGAGCCTAGCCGTTCTATGGATGAAGGAGTCTTGATAAAGTGCTGTTCGACATCTTTCGATGTTGACAACGAAAGGATGTGCTGACTGGGCTTGTCTAGTTCGTCTGATTGGTATTACTAGTGAAGGGATGATAGCAGAGATTTCCGAAGAACATTTCCCGTGGAAGTATCGATAGACAAGTGAAAGGTCGCCGACCCTTCTACGGTGTTCCAATGATGTCAAAGAGTGAGTGAGTGTGGCGTCACCCACCAGGCGGATGGCTCTTCTCTGGATAGAATCTAAGAGCATCAGCGTATGTTTTGGTGCTGAACCCCATATGTGGGAACAGTATTCTAGAACAGGCCGTATCTGCGCTTTGTAGATCATGATCAGCTGTTGAGGTGTAAAGTAGCTTTTCGCACGGAACAAGAATCCGAGTTTTTGTGAAGCAGCTTTTGCGATGGATCTGACATGATTATCCCATGAAAGAGTGTTGCTGATGGAAATACTGAGCATAGATATGGTGGGCTTGGTGGGGATGGTGAAGCCAGACAATACAATGTCGGGCATACTGAGTTCCGCCTTTCTAGAGAAAATGCAGGCTTGAGTTTTGGTGACGTTGAATTCAACTAGGTTGTTTGTTCTCCAGGCTGTGATTTCAGCAAGATCTTCATTGACAGCATTGACCTGCCTACGCCGTGAGTTCTTAGTTTCCTGGGAAGAAATGGGAATTCTGGAAGAGAAGGCAGTATGGAGGGTACTATCATCTGCAAAGCTGTGGATGGGGCGAGTTACTTTTGAATCATAATGTACCAACCGGATTCCTTCGTCTCTCGCTGCATTTTTTGTGCATCGTATAACAGCACAATATGATGGCATGCGCGAATCAATGAATAGCCGAAATAAATAAGGATCGGTCATCTGGCAGATCTTGCATGCAACTCATGGAATACTTTTTGGGTTATGTATTATCAAAGTCAAATGCAAAAGTGGATGTCAAACATATCGAATGAATGAAGTTTCAGCAATATCTGTAAACATATAATGACCAAATATTGAGGAGAAAATCTCCCTTCATTTTTCTTGAATCGAAATCTGATTTTTTCCCGCTCGATGTGGATTTCAAGAGAATTACTTCGAGTCACTTCATCTTTTGACTTTCCATGATGAGTCACGAGTAAAAATTCGAAATGTTTGATTAGGCATTATAAAATGAAACCTTCATCGTTCCTTATTTTTATTTGACAGGGCCCACTTGGAAAACGCGGTCGTAAGGGAGATAAGGGAGACAAAGGAGATCAAGGAGTACCCGGACTAGATGCACCCTGTCCTCTTGGAGCTGATGGTTTACCATTGCCAGGCTGTGGATGGAGACCTCCTAAGGTGAGACCTCAATTTGGAACCTACCTTGTTGGTCATCTCATTATTCTTTATTCTAGTACTACAGGGTGGGCCACCAGTAACGCCTCGGTCTCTAGAAGGCTAACCACTCATCTTCTTGGAATTCTTCCTCTCTAGGAAGTTGCATGTCAACATAGGCTACCATTTGAAATTATTTTGAAACATACAGGATGTCCCCAAAAATCACAAAACACTGAAGTTGAACTTTTTTCTATCGAACACCCTATATATTATTTCATTTTGAGATTCTCCCTGATGAGCTGATTTCAACGACCTATCATACTTGGGGTCTAGCAGTTATAATTACTGAAATATAGGGTGTGAAAAATCGAGATTTTCCAAGTTCAAGAATTTTTTGTGTCGAAACTATTCATAATTGGTCAAAACGGCTTACATGTCCCTATCTCAACTTTTGATTAACTATCTACTGATATTTAATTGGGACATATACCGGGTGATCAAGATTCTGAATTCTGCACCACCCTGTATTTGTTTCAATTAAATGTCAGTAGATAGTTGATCAAAAGTTGAGATAGGGACATGTGAGCCGTTTTGACCAATTATGAATGGTTTAGACACAAAAAATTCTTGAACTTGGAAAATCTCGATTTCTCACACCCTATATCTCAGTAATTATAACTGCTAGACCCCAAGTATGATGGATTGTTGAAATCAGCTCACCAGGGAGAATCTCAAAATGAAATAATATATAGGGTGTTCGATTGAAAAAAGTTCAACTTTAGTATTTTGCGGTTTTTGGGGACACCCTGTATGTTTTGAAATAATTTCAAATGGTAGCCTATGTTGACATGCAACTTTCTAGAGAGGAAGAATTCCAAGAAGATAAGTGGTTAGCCTTCTAGAGACCGAGGCGTTACTGGTGGCCCACCGTGTATATGCATTTCAAACTCACTTCTCATATCTCCTTTCATCATTCGGGAAGGTATTGAAAAAAAAATTGATTCGTATCGACAACTCCTAATTTAATAATTTCTCTGATGTTCCCTCCCTTCAGGAGGACATACCCTTGAGAAAAAAGAGGTGGATCAGCAGAAGACTTAGAATCGGCCTAAAACCTCTACTAATCATGACTTTGTCTGAACAGTCTAGCTAGACTCTGTTAACTCTCTCTTGAGTCTCACGACTCTTACTAATTTTTTTCTCTGGGCGCTCTTTTATAATCACTTGACTGTGTTAACTTTCTGGACTGTCTTGACTATGTTGAAATATTGAAAAATATGGTGAAACCTTAGCCGTGACACTTGATATCTCCAAAGCATTCGATCGAGTCTGGCACCACGAACTCCTCGCCAAGCTTCCATCTTATGGCTTGCCTCCCCAGCTATGTTCTCTGCTAGCTAGTTTTCTCTTAAACAGGTTTCTCCATGTAGTGGTCGACGGAGTTTCATCTGACTCTCTCACCATAAATGCTGGTGTTCCGCAAGGATCAATTCTAGCACTAACAGTATTTTTACTCCATATCAACGATTTGTTGGAAGCAACTTCATGTCCAGTACACAGCTTCGCGGATGATAGTACCCTCCATACCGCCTTCTCTTCCAGGGTTCCAATACCAGCCAGGTAAATCAGAAACGAACGAGGAAGAAATGTTGACAACATAAATATGGACTTGGTAACGATTCTCGAGTGGGGATCCAATAACTTGGTAGATTTCAATGCAAACAAAACACAAGCATGCCTTCTCTCTAGAAAAGCCGATCTCACTGTGCCAAACATAAGCATGTCAGGAGTAACCATACCTTTGAAGACATTCATTTCGATGCTTGGTATTACTATCAGCAATAACCTTTCTTGGGAAATTCACGTGAGATCAACTGCTAAAAGTGCATTCCAAAAACTTGGTTTTCTGTTTCGGGCCAGGAGCTATTTCACTTCCAGTCAGCTGCTTATGATCTACAAGGCACAGATCCGACCTGTCCTGCAATACTGTTCCCATATTTGGAGTGCAGCACCCAAACATTCCCTGAAACTGTTGGATTCTGTCCAAAAAAGAGCAATTCGTCTCGTGGGTGATGCCTCGCTCACAAACTCACTCACTTCTCTGGAACACCGTAGAAAAGTTGGCGATCTGGCTCTATTTCATAGATATTTTCATGGACGATGCTCTTCCGAAAAATCAACAATTGTACCTCCCTTGACAGTCCCCGCGAGATTAACCCGTCGAGTTGAGGCTTCGCACCCCTTTGTGGTCACTTTGGATACCTGCAGAACATCTCTTTCCAAAAAGACTCGTTCATCCAATGAACAACGAGGCTCTGGAACACATTGCCAAGGGAGGTGTTCCCCGAGAACACCTATTCCTACCTTATTTCCCTTGGTTCTCACGATGTTCTCTGAACATTACAGGATATCCCTTTTCGTGGAAACCAGAACATAAAAAAAATGTTAACTCTCTAATACCTGGTTAACTGTCTGATACTCGGTTAAATCTCTTGACTTTTTTAGGAGCCTCCTAGACCTATCTCGCTACCGCCCATACAGACGCATGATTTCGACATGGAAGATCCAGTAGATGAGACCGAGGACTACGAGGAAGTCGAAGGTGATGACTACGAGGACTACGCTGAAGTCAACCAGGCCCTTCCGTTGACTAACTAACATGTAGGTATATACCTTTTCCCAAAGTTGGTTGGAGCAGATCACTCAAGGAACGTCCGCCACGTGCAATAACGAACCAGCGGCCCGTGGCGTATGTTTTTTTGCAGGAGTTGCTGCAACTGACTATATTCAACTACAAAATGCGTTTACTTTGGCTCAGGTTTGCACCAGATAGCGGTCAAGAATGCTATCTGGGACAGCCCTGCACTGATGAGAGCCAAGAGCTCGAAACCTGTCTGCAGGTAGTCAGGCGTTCCTGAACCATTTAGGCGCAGTTCGGCGTTTAGGATTGAAACACTTGCGATTTTATTCGTCTTTACGAATTATTGCATAGATTTCGGGAGGATGTATCTAATACAATGTTCTGCGTGGCATATAGCCAGGAAAGAAGTATTTTTCTCTCGTTATCTACCATTTTCATTCATTTTATGAACTATTGTGGTAATCACTTTGAGTTTCTCTCTTTTTGTGACCATTGCATTCCACTTTAAGTATTTGGCTTTTTTCTAGTTGAATATGATAGTGGTTACTATACAGGGTGTCCCATTGGGAAACAGAAAAACTTCAACAGTGGGTAGAGCTCATCAAGGTGGTTCTGGATATACCATATTTGTAGAGTCTCGCAAGTTTTTCATCCGAGATATAGGGTGTTTTTTCAATTTTGTTCAATTCTTTGTGAGGACATAACTTACAAACCACTCAGTATATTCATTTGGAAATCGGTACACAATTTCGCCACCTTCTATCAAAGCGACTCACCTAGCAGTCACGAGAAAAATCCAGGACCGGATCAACGAAAATCGATCATATATCTGGACCCCAAAAATATCACCCTGTATTTTCGAATTTCCAAAATCCGCTCACATATTTGGAAAGTGCATGAAAATATGAATCGTATGATGTACTTTCCATTTTTCCGCATGCTATTTCACTAGGTAATTTCTGATTTTGAATATATGAGGTTTCATGCATTTGGAAAAGTAAAAATGAATTGTTTTGAGTTTTCCCAATCGAATAACAAGAACTATCACGAACCACCCAGTATATTCTTTTGAAATTTGGTACACAAGTTTTTCTTCTTCTACCCAAGCAACTCACCTATCAGTCACGATGAAAATTCAAGTCCGGATTAACGAAAAATTATGATCTTTTGGTCCCGGAAAGAACACCCAGTATTTTCGAATTTCCAAAATCCGATTCCATATTTGGAAAGTTCACAAAGAGATGATTCGAATTGTGTACTTTTCAATATCCCGCATGCTCTTTTACTAATTAATTTCTTATTCTGAAAACTCAAAACTTTCCATCTTATCCAAATGCATAAAACCTCAAATTCAAAATCAGAAATTCAGTAGTGAAATAGCATTCGTATGAAAACAAAAAGTAGACAATCAGATTCAGCTTTTCGTGCAATTTTCGAATATGTATGCATATTATGGAAATTCGAAAATACAGGGTGTTCTTTTTGGGGCCCAGAAATATAATCAATTTTCGTTAATCCGGTCCTGGATTTTTCTCGTGAATGATAGGTGGGGGGCTTGGGTAGATCAAGGAGAACTCGTGTACCGAATTCAAAAAAAATATACTGGGTGGTTCGTGATAATATTATTCGATTGGGAAAACTCGAAACATATTATTTTTACCTATCCAAATGCATAAAACCTCGAATTCAAAATCAGAAATTCCATTGTAAAATTGCATGTGGGAAAATGAAAAGTACATCATTCGGTTCAGCTTTTTGTGCACTTTCCAAATGTGTAAGCGGATTTTGAGAATTCGAAAATACAGGGTGTTCTTTTTGGGGTCCAGAAATATGATCAATTTTCGTTAATCCGGTCCTGGATTTTTCTCGTGAATGATAGGTGGGGGGCTTGGGTAGATCAAGGAGAACTCGTGTACCAAAGTCCAAAAAAATATACTGGGTGGTTCGTGATAATTGTTGTTATTCGATTGGGAAAACTCAAAACATATTATTTTTACCTACCAAATTGCATGAAACCTCGAATTCAAAATCAGAAGTTCCATTGTGGGAAAATGAAAAGTACATCATTCGGTTCAGCTTTTTGTGCACTTTCCAAATGTGTAAGCGGATTTTGAGAATTCGAAAATACAGGGTGTTCTTTTTGGGGTCCAGAAATATGATCAATTTTCGTTAATCCGGACCTGGATTTTTCCCGTGGATGATAGGTGAGGCGCTTGGGTAGAATGAGGAGAACTCGTGTACCAAAGTCCAAAAGAATATACTGGGTGGTTCGTGATAATTGTTGTTATTCGATTGGGAAAACTCGAAACATATTATTTTTACCTATCCAAATGCATAAAACCTCGAATTCAAAATCAGAAATTCCTTAGTGAAATTGCATGCGGGAAAATGACAAGTATACCATTCTGTTCAGCTTTTTGTGCACTTTCCAAATATTCAAGCGGATTTTGAGAATTCGAAAATACAAGGTGTTGTTTTTTGTGTCCAGAAATATTATCAACTTTTGTTAATCCGGACCTGGATTTTTCGCGTGACTGATAGGTGAGTCGCTTTGATAGGAAAAGAAGAAATTGTGTACCAAATCGCAGAAGAATATACTGAGTGGTTCGTAAGTTATGTCCTCACAAAGAATTGGGCGAAATTGATAAAACACCCTATATCTTGGATATAAAACTTGTGAGACCCTACAAATATGGTATATTCAGAACCACCTTGATGAGCTCTACCCACCGTTGAAGTTTTTCCGTTTCCCAATGGGACACCCTGTAGAAATGATTCTAAATTTCTTCAAAATTATACAAGGTAGCTTAACTCAATTGAACGTTCTGATTGGTTTAAAATCATACGTAGGAAATAATCGAAATATAGGATGAAATTTAAAAGAACTTTTGAAGGTAGAGAATGATCATGATTGTGATTAATTTTTATATTTGTTTCAGGCTCCATACGGGTGATTATTTCTGGACTATGATAGTACTTATAGTGCAAGAAAAGACTCAGTGAAACGATAAACAGAGTGAATTGTTCTGCATATATTTTAACTTCGTAGCCATCAATAAGTTTATAGTTCATATACATATATTTCATTTGGTCCATTTTATGTTTTAATTCCAATTAGGATTGTAAATATTATTACCTATATTACATCTGAATTTGTTATTCAACTTGTTATAAGATTCTATATTTGCCTATGATGATAATTTATGTACTATATATAGAAGTAATTTATGAAATCATTTCTCTTTGTCATAGTTTTTGTAGCATATACCTATAATTATTCTGAATAAATTATTTATTGAGCGATGGTCTCTTGACTCAATTTTTTATAATTGGAGAGGGAGGAAAGAGAAACAAGACCTGGATTTCTCTCGATTTCAGCGTAACCTCAGAATGACCTGAAACTTCATATACAGGGTGTTCTCGATGTGCTGATCACGAAAATGAGATTGACTTTCCTCTATTTATCATAGTTTTCAAGTTATTAATGATTTTCTGTTCCCTGCATGGTCACTGTGATTCCTCTATCTATGGAAATCGTGTAAGAATTCATAGCTTTTTTTCTACTGAAACGACAGATGAATGATTCTAATGGGAGATGAACAATTGCATCAGGAATCCCAGTACAAATTTTGGAAGCCCTACGATCTCTTCGAAAATTTCTGTGGAAAAAAAAACAAGACTAACACCTTGGATTTTTCTCGACCTCAGCAAAATTTCAGAATGAGCTGAAAATTCATATTCAGGGCGTTCTCGATGTGCTGAACACGAAAATGGGATTGACTTTCCTGTATTTATCAAAGTTTTCAAGTTATTAATGATTTTCTGTTCCCTGCATGGTCACTGTGATTCCTCTGTCAATCGAAATCGGGTAAAAATTTATAGCTTTTTTTCTACTGAAACGACAGATGAATGATTCTAATGGGAGATAGACAATTGCATCAGGAATCTCTGTACCAATTTTGGAAGCCCTACGATCTCTTCGAAATTTTCTGTGGAAAAAAAAACAAGACTAACACCTTGGATTTTTCTCGACCTCAGCAAAATTTCAGAATGAGCTGAAAGTTCATATACAGGGTGTTCTCGATGCGCTGAACACGAAAATGAGATTGATTTTTTTCTATTTATCTTAGTTTTCAAAATATTAATGATTTTCTGTTCCCTGCATGGTCAGTGTGATTCCTCTATTATCGAAATCGTGTAAGAATTCATATCTTTTTTTCTACTGAAACGACAGATGAATGATTCTAACGGGAGATAGACAATTGCATCAGGAATCCCAGTACAAATTTTGGAAGCCCTACGATCTCTTCGAAAATTTCTGTGGAAAAAAAAACAAGACTAACACCTTGGATTTTTCTCGACCTCAGCAAAATTTCAGAATGAGCTGAAAATTCATATTCAGGGCGTTCTCGATGTGCTGAACACGAAAATGGGATTGACTTTCCTGTATTTATCAAAGTTTTCAAGTTATTAATGATTTTCTGTTCCCTGCATGGTCACTGTGATTCCTCTGCCAATCGAAATCGTGTAAGAATTCATAACTTTTTTTCTACTGAAACGACAGACGAATGATTCTAATGGGAGATAGACAATTGCATCAGGAATCCCTGTACCAATTCTGGAAGCCCTACGATCTCTTCGAAATTTTCTGTGAAAAAAAAAACAAGACTAACACCTTCGATTTTACTCGACCTCAGCAAAATTTCAGAATGAGCTGAAAGTTCATATACAGGGTGTTCTCGATGTGCTGAACACGAAAATGGGATTGACTTTTTTCTATTCATCTTAGTTTTCAAAATATTAATGATTTTCTGTTCCCTGCATGGTCACTGTGATTCCTCTATTATCGAAATCGTGTAAGAATTCATATCTTTTTTTCTACTGAAACGACAGATGAATGATTCTAACGGGAGATAGACAATTGCATCAGGAATCCCTGTACCAATTTTGGAAGCCCTACGATCTCTTCGAAATTTTCTGTGAAAAAAAAACAAGACTAACACCTTGGATTTTACTCGACCTCAGCAAAATTTCAGAATGAGCTGAAAGTTCATATACAGGGTGTTCTCGATGTGCTGAACACGAAAATGGGATTGACTTTTTTCTATTTATCTTAGTTTTCAAAATATTAATGATTTTCTGTTCCCTGCATGGTCACTGTGATTCCTCTATCTATCGAAATCGTGTAAGAATTCATAACTTTTTTTCTACTGAAACGACAGACGAATGATTCTAATGGGAGATAGACAATTGCATCAGGAATCCCTGTACCAATTTTGGAAGCCCTACGATCTCTTCGAAATTTTCTGTGAAAAAAAAAAAACAAGACTAACACCTTGGATTTTACTCGACCTCAGCAAAATTTCAGAATGAGCTGAAAGTTCATATACAGGGTGTTCTCGATGTGCTGAACACGAAAATGGGATTGACTTTTTTCTATTTATCTTAATTTTCAAAATATTAATGATTTTCTGTTCCCTGCATGGTCACTGTGATTCCTCTATCTATCGAAATCGTGTAAGAATTCATAACTTTTTTTCTACTGAAACGACAGACGAATGATTCTAATGGGAGATAGACAATTGCATCAGGAATCCCTGTACCAATTCTGGAAGCCCTACGATCTCTTCGAAATTTTCTGTGAAAAAAAAAACAAGACTAACACCTTCGATTTTACTCGACCTCAGCAAAATTTCAGAATGAGCTGAAAGTTCATATACAGGGTGTTCTCGATGTGCTGAACACGAAAATGGGATTGACTTTTTTCTATTCATCTTAGTTTTCAAAATATTAATGATTTTCTGTTCCCTGCATGGTCACTGTGATTCCTCTATCTATCGAAATCGTGTAAGAATTCATAACTTTTTTTCTACTGAAGCGACAGACGAATGATCCTAATGGGAGATAGACAATTGCATCAGGAATCCCTGTACCAATTTTGGAAGCCCTACGATCTCTTCGAAATTTTCTGTGAAAAAAAAAACAAGACCAACACCTTGGATTTTACTCGACCTCAGCAACATTTCAGAATGAGCTGAAAGTTCATATACAGGGTGTTCTCGATGTGCTGAACACGAAAATGGGATTGACTTTTTTCTATTTATCTTAGTTTTCAAAATATTAATGATTTTCTGTTCCCTGCATGGTCACTGTGATTCCTCTATCTATCGAAATCGTGTAAGAATTCATAACTTTTTTTCTACTGAAACGACAGACGAATGATTCTAATGGGAGATAGACAATTGCATCAGGAATCCCTGTACCAATTTTGGAAGCCCTACGATCTCTTCGAAATTTTCTGTGAAAAAAAAAACAAGACTAACACCTTGGATTTTACTCTACCTCAGCAAAATTTCAGAATGAGCTGAAAGTTCATATACAGGGTGTTCCCGATGTGCTGAACACGAAAATGAGATTGACTTTCCTATATTCATCATAGTTTTCAAAATATTAATGATTTTCTGTTCCCTGCATGGTCACTATGATTCCTCTATCTATCGAAATCGGGTAAAAATTCATAGCTTTTTTTCTACTGAAACGACAGACGAATGATTCTAATGGGAGATAGACAATTGCATCAGGAATCCCTGTACCAATTTTGGAAGCCCTACGATCTCTTCGAAATTTTCTGTGAAAAAAAAAAACAAGACTAACACCTTGGATTTTACTCTACCTCAGCAAAATTTCAGAATGAGCTGAAAGTTCATATACAGGGTGTTCCCGATGTGCTGAACACGAAAATGAGATTGACTTTCCTATATTCATCATAGTTTTCAAAATATTAATGATTTTCTGTTCCCTGCATGGTCACTATGATTCCTCTATCTATCGAAATCGGGTAAAAATTCATAGCTTTTTTTCTACTGAAACGACAGACGAATGATTCTAATGGGAGATAGACAATTGCATCAGGAATCCCTGTACCAATTTTGGAAGACCTACGATCTCTTCGAAATTCTCTGTGGAAAAAAAAAACAAGACTAACACCTTGGATTTTTCTCTGGCTCAGCAAAATTTCAGAATGAGCTGAAAATTCATATACAGGGTGTTCTCGATGTGCTGAACACGAAAATGAGATTGACTTTCCTATATTTACCATAGTTTTCAAGTTATTAATGATTTTCTATTCCCTGCATAGTCACTGTGATTCCTCTATCTGTCGAAATCGTGTAAGAATTCATAGCTTTTTTTCTACTGAAACGACAGATGAATGATTCTAATGGGAGATAGACAATTGCATCAGGAATCCCTGTACCAATTTTGGAAGTCCTACGATTACTTCGAAATTTTCTGTGGAAAAAAAAACAAGACCTTGGATTTTTCTCGACCTCAGCAAAATTTCAGAATGAGCTGAAAGTTCATATACAGGGTGTTCTCGATGTGCTGAACACGAAAATGGGATTGACTATTTTCTATTTATCATAGTTTTCAAAATATTAATGATTTTCTGTTCCCTGCATGGTCACTGTGATTCCTCTATCTATCGAAATCGTGTAAGAATTCATAGCTTTTTTTCTACTGAAACGACAGATGAATGATTCTAATGGGAGATAGACAATTGCATCAGGAATCCCTGTACCAATTTTGGAAGTCCTACGATCACTTCGAAATTTTCTGTGGAAAAAAAAACAAGACTAACACCTTGGATTTTTCTCGACCTCAGCAAAATTTCAGAATGAGCTGAAAGTTCATATACAGGGTGTTCTCGATGTGCTGAACACGAAAATGGGATTGACTTTCCTCTATTTATCATAGTTTTCAAGTTATTAATGATTTTCTGTTCCCTGCATGGTCACTGTGATTCCTCTGTCAATCGAAATCGGGTAAAAATTCATAGCTTTTTTTCTACTGAAACGACAGATGAATGATTCTAATGGGAGATAGACAATTGCATCAGGAATCCCTGTACCAATTTTGGAAGCCCTACGATCTCTTCGAAATTTTCTGTGGAAAAAAAAAACAAGACTAACACCTTGGATTTTTCTCTGGCTCAGCAAAATTTCAGAATGAGCTGAAAATTCATATACAGGGTGTTCTCGATGTGCTGAACACGAAAATGAGATTGACTTTTCTCTATTTATCATAGTTTTCAAGTTATTAATGATTTTCTGTTCCCTGCATGGTCACTGTGATTCCTCTGTCTATCGAAATCGTGTAAGAATTCATAGCTTTTTTTCTACTGAAACGACAGATGAATGATTCTAATGGGAGACAGACAATTGCATCAGGAATACCTGTACCAATTTTGGAAGCCTTACGATCTCTTCGAAATTTTCTGTGGA